TGATAAGCATGTTAAACCATCAGCCCGCTTAACTATGCTTGATAAGCATGTTAAACCATCAGCCCGATTAACTATGCTTGATAAGCATGTTAAACCATCAGCCCACTTAACTATACTTGATAAGCATGTTAAACTATCAGCCCGCTTAACTATGCTTGATAAGCATGTTAAACCATCAGCCCGATTAACCATGCTCTTTAAGTATGTCTAATCATAATGTCGATCACCTAAGGCTTTGACGTTCGAACTCCACATGTGGTAATTTACCCCATCAACAAACTAGTGTTTTATTGAAAGTGGTTTGTACATATTTCAACCTTCTGGCGGCCTCAGTTTAATTTCAATCCTTCATCTATTTTTAAACAGTAACTTAAAGTTTCTTTCAAGCATAAGATTATGATAAATCGATTGCAGATATAGGCCCACAATAACGGTAAGTGCCATTCTTTATTCTCACGTCCTGGAGCTCAAATAATGACTTGTTCAATTTATTACAAGAGAGAAAGTAACGTCATCAGTGAAACATTTGAAAACTCTTTCATGTGATTGTACCAATAAGCATATTTTTATTCTATTTCTCTGGCCACTAAAATACATGAAAATCATCCACAAAAAAGATATGCTCAGGAAAATATTTTCAATTGTCGATGAAACAGTACAAGACAGGTGATATTATTGGCAGCCCAGGATATAAATCAATTGTTTTTAAATTAACATATGCTTTATCTCTAATATTTTCGTTTTCACTTTTCAAATTTCAACCCTCCTAGAAACTCACTAATTTTTACTGGTTTGGTAGGAATTTTTTCGTCTTGATAATCAGATTACATGAAAGCGACAGACACAGCTGCTGATCCTGTTCAGATAATGGTCAAAATCTTTGTAAACTAAATTTTGACATGGTGTTAGTGATGACATAACTCACATTGAAAGGGTGTAAGAGAAGGCTAGCAGAGGACTGATGAAATGGATCTCATATTCATGTAACAACATTTGCAGTGCAACTTTAAACCTATCAAGGACACCTTTAACTTAAATAACTAAGACTGCTTGTTAAAATTAGAGACTTAAAAAATTGGAACCCCATAGCTGTAGAACACAAACAAAGGTTGTCTTTGAAGTCTGGGAAAAGCTAGAGAAGCACTCAGTGAACGAGATACAATTGATGTAAGTGAGGAGTTACGGATGACAAGTTCGGTGGAAATGTGTAAGATAATTATTTATTGTAAAAAAATCGACTGAAAAGAGATTGATATAAGACATCAGCGTTACAGATGCTTTCCAGTCTTCTCTGAGAGGACGCGATGAAATATAAAAATGTCGGCTCAGTATCCCTTGCTTCAACATAATCGACTAAGATCGCCCTGGATCTTGATTTTGGAGGATAAAAGCTTACGTTATAAAGAAAGAATATTCCCGAAGCAATATCAGTAAATATATCATGAGACCCTACGTGATCATCCTGTTTTACCAGAAATATTCTTGCAATGAATGTTTCAATGAAAAAAATTTCGCTGCGGTCTACTGTACGCTTTCATCAAATGTTTTTACCGCTCAACTAGGTATCTTTGAATAACAAATGTATGATAATTCCTCAGCGTATCCGATAAACTTCCACGAAAACGACTCCGTTAACTAATCTCGCATCTCTTTGGAGACCACCTCCACAGAAGAATTTAGGATAGGTATTAAGTCAAAAATGACACAAAAGATTCTAAGTATTCGCATTTCTATTGACTACAAACACAGGCTTCTTTTATCTATAATGGCACCTTGGTCGTTCTCTGCTCTTGTTTAGATAACTGTGATCAGGAGTTTACAACTTTGTGTTAAATTCTGCACTCAAGGCATATACGCGAAGCTAATAATGTAAGTTTTATGTGCGATGAGCTAGTGCTATTTTCAGCTTCCTATACTGTTTATGTGCGTCTCCAGCCGAGCTTAACTGCAAGCCCGCGGTCATTGAGCTGCGCAGCTAATGGCATAATTCTGACCGAACACCAGGTCTTAGAACTTCGGTCTGAGCCCTTGCTCCGAGACACACGCTTTGGGAAAGAGATTCCTCGTGTAAGATTGACTGGAATAACTCTAAAGAATTACTAAAAAATGTTGGCCTAGCGAACTTTTTCTCGAGTTGTGTCGTGATATACCATAGTTTTTTAGTGCAATGGCATATTCGTATATTTCCTATAAATCATTAGAAAGCGACACAGCCCCTTGGTTTATTAACTCGTTGGAGCTGAATTATTCATAATAGAATTGTCTATATTCAGTAAAATAAGATGTCTGGCGTGTTTATTTCAGGTTCTGAGCAAACGAAGACGTTTTTCATTACTTTCGTCATATTAATTTATGTTTTTTGTCATTTAATGCTGTATTAAGCTTGAAAGATATATGTTAAGGTGAAACATGTGCTATGTCAAAACTAATTTCATACGTAACATATCTCTACCATAACAGTCTTGGCAAAGTTGTAGCCATGGATGTCTGAAAGGATATAAATCATTGGGCAACGAAAATAAACAATGTTTTGAACTACAAAAGATAATTATAAGGCCTAAGGGCAATCAATGCACCTTTAGAAGTCAAGGTAAAATTCAAAATAAAAGTTATGGTAAGACATTTTGCGGTGCATTTTGGCTCTTTCATCGCTGACACTAATCAAGAACTTCTCCATGCCAGAGGTAAGATATATCTTTAAATTTCCCTTAATTTCCAACAAGGAAAAGGAGGAAAATGTTTTTTCATCATAGAAAAATTAAACGAAAGTGCACACAATAAACAACTCATGAATTTAACTTTTAGATGCAAAGAAGGCGGCGATCAATTTGACTCAGCATATATATTTTACTTAGGGATGACATTAGTAACAGGTTCGAAATGCTTACGTTTTTTTCAAAACTTTCAGTTTCAGTTTGAAAAAAAAAAGTGATGAATTGAAAAAAAAAAATAAAACAAAAACCAAAGTCATAAATGGACTCACCTTCTCTCACTTGGCGGTGTATTTTGTCTCCAGCCTTTCAGTCGATAATTGTGGGACTCTAGAGTCTCTTCCAATGACTTGTTAGTGACTAGTTAGTAGCACGATAGGAAATGGTGCTTAATAACGTTCAGAACGCTAGCATGCTAATACTATTACCCTGTATTGTCGTTCGAACCATTTACACAGAATGGCGATTACTGGAAAGTTATTTCAAGCCAGACTTGTTTTAAAGACTGACCTTGAAAAACTAGAAGCTTCTTTGGATTTGTAACCTTTACCTCGCATCTGCCTTGAAAAAAAGCTTTAATAAAACCCGACAAAAGATTCACTGTTTAGTAACATCAAAGACGGTCTAAAGTCGCTTACAAAGCGCGCCATAAAAAACCTAGACCGACCCTTCAACAGCTGCTATCACGTATTGGTAACCGACAAGTACAAGGCACTATGGCAACGGAATAGCCAATCGACAACACCGAAACACCAATAAATATACAGCTCTTTGACCTTCATTTTTTTACTGCCTATTTATGTAAAGGATATCAAAATACTTTTTCTTTCTACTTTTTTCTTTTTTCTGAGAGAGTCGAGGTTCAGAACAATATCGTAATTATTTGTATCCTCAAACAGAGTTGGATTGTGCATGGTTGTTGTGATCATACTCCTTTTTATGAAGTTTATTTCACGACTATAATATTTAAAAACAATTTGAAGACAAACGTTTGATTCCGAGAGCAAGACAAGAAAAAAAACAACAGTAAATTGACCCAGAGATGAACAAACAAGCAAATGGATAAAAAATGAAGAAATAGATAAATAAATTAATAAATCAATGGATCAAAATTTTGGAATGGGAGTTTATCTCTCGATCGCGCAGATTCGTGGTTGTTACCTTTCCAGAAGTTTCCTTTGTCTTTCGGGAACAGTTATCAACACGAAGTTAATGTTTTCAATGAAATATTGATAAAGATTGGGGTCTAGCACCTTGACACAATGCTTTATTGGTGGTCAAACTGAAAAGACGCCGGATTCGTTTTTAGAATGAATTACTTCATTTCACCCAACTTTAAAGTAAACTTTCTACATTGACAAAACAAAGGTTGCACAAAATTTTCGCTTCCCTGATTTGACCTGGTAACGGGAACTGAATTTATCTCATCTATGGTTCATAAAGTTCCGTGTTACTTCGACGACAAACGAAATAGAATCATCTTCTCAACAAGTAATTTACGTATAATAGGAAAATTAGCATTTGAAACGCAACTAAAAATTTGATTGTATGATGCAAAGAATATTTGGCGCCGCTAAAATTGATGTAAAACACCGAAGTACTTTCTGTTCTTTTCGGTTACTTCAAATGTCTTTGTTTTCGTGTTGAGAATTACCAACTGCGTAAAAAGAGAACCCCTTTGTTCGTTCTGTGTATGGTAGATTAATTGAATCAATCAGCTAGCCGACAATTCATGACTGGTGTTTTGAAATTAAATGAATAAGGAAAAATACAAAGTCATACTGAAAGATCTAGATCGACTGAACTTCCAGTGTGTTTGTGTTTTTCTCATTGAAGTCTCAGAATAAATAATATTCGACAAATTTCAGCGAAACTAAGAACTGATTTACGAGTTGATAGCACTTTTTTTCAAGATCCAAGCTAATTAAATGGAAAAAAATCATGTCTTTAAGGCCTAGTTAAGCCTGTGATGTCGAACTTGATAATTCCATTATATTCCCGTCATCCCCAAAACACGTCCTTGAAGAAAGTTTTCTGGAATAATATGATAATACCACATAATTACTTCTCGCGGTCGGCAACTTTGTTCCTATGAGACGACTGATATTAACACTATTGTCTTTCTGCTGTCCTAGTCGTTTTAAAGATCTTCAAACCGGTGAATTCTACATCAAAAGGATGAAATGAAGGGGAACACTCTGGAACAAGGATATTCGCTGCCAATGGTTATTTTTTCATAAATTTCATTTAGCAACAGAGACTCTACATACGGCTGAAGACGTTAATAGGAAACCAGTTCCATTCAAAACAGTTTTCAAGAACAGTCTTCTTTAGAAGGTAAAGTAATTAGTAAAAAAATTCATTTTTTTCGAGATCTAGTCATATCCGCCAATGGTCATAAAACACGAAATGTGTTTTTTAGATCTATTGCAAAAATTGACATTTATCTTTTTAACCGAAAAACGCAAAGTTTCGTAGCATATTTCTGGCACTTTTCTCAAGGAAATGAAAACAGCTTATGAAATGGATGAGCGCGCATTTAAAAGGTCACATTCAATTTTCTGTTTCTCTCAATACCTGCAATTTTAGCTCAAAAATCTTGACGATAAACTGTGTTATTACAGAAATTAAAATTTCCAGAGTATAACATATCGCAGTTTGCTGTGTCCTTGTATCCCACAAAAATTTACTTTATCCAAAATTTATATCGATATAAATGAAAATACGAAGATCTTGTTTATCATCTGCTCCGATCATAAACATAACCAGGTTACAACGAAACTCACTGACCAGAAACATTTATTTAATGTTTAACAGCATGTGCCATTGTTACACTTATTGTTACACTTACACAAGAGTTTTGCGTTGAACGAACGGACTTCTTTCTCCTTGATTTGCACAATTTTCGTGAATTCAAATTCTGCGAAAATTAAAGGTGCGGTAGGGGTCACTCCTTATTTTCCATTTCCTTTTGTTCGCTTCGTTTCCGTAATTGTTTGTTATTCTTGTCTCTCCATAAAAACTCAACATAATTATTTTAGCTAAAATCACGGCCTAAGCAAAACGAAATGTTTTCTGTCAGCCTAGTTTTGTCGCTATGTGATGTACAGTCGATTTTTTTTCTCCCAATTTAAAGTAATACAATGGTTCTTAGAATAAAGTTGGTTCAATTGATACATTAAAAATGTTGTCCCGAACGGTCCAACAATTGGGAGATTTCATTTTAAACTGTGGCAAACACGAAAATGTGAATCTGTGCAAATTGGTTCTTTAACATCCAGTAACTCTTTTTTGTGCGACCAGTTTATAAATGATCACAATATTGCCAAGCAAATTTGCGACGAAGGTACAAAACCGTACATCAAAGCTAACGTCAACTTTATGGCCTTAATAAGGGTGCGGCATCCTTGCAATTAAACCTTTTCCTTTTCTTTTACTGAATGTCTTCGGGTGTGTCGGTAAAAAGCTTAAGGAAGAGTAAGTGTTAGAGCCCGGATGAATGATCTTTAGAAAGATTTTCAAGTACGGATTTCTAAACGGTAAGATGAAAGATTTTTTTTTCCGAATTAAGATTCCTAGCAACACCGGCATTACTCTACTAATGACTGAGTATTTAGACCTCTACGGTTGGTTAATCAGTTTGTAGGTGGCCTGTGTAACCTGTATCTGGTGGTTTTGTGGTCACTTTTGGTGATGGAGCCGTGAAAACGTGCAGACGGGTCAACTGTTAAAAGGAGATGAAAAAATGAAAAACATTTTTCTGCTTTCTTTCATATAAAACGTCGAAAAACCTTCAACGGTACAGTTGGTTAATATATGTAAAGGAGAAACTTATTAGTTCACAGAAAGGAATTAACTGAGACTTAACCGATCACCATGAGATAGGCTTTCCTCACAGCAGAGGACATCAAGCAGTCTGAACGGCAACGCTAAGGAAGACGTGGATTAAAAATTGAATTTATATTTTAAGTAAGAAAAACTCAAGATTCGTTTTTTCTTTTATACATGAATTTACAAACTGTTTAGCTGCTCTCAGTTAGGAGAATTTTTATCGAGTCTTTCACTGATCCATCTTCCTATTAAAATTAAAGGTTCTTTCGTTTCGATCACAGACAGTGGTTGGTTGATCCCCTAATTCCCAAAACGTTTTAAAAAAACAACCACTACGAGAAAATCAATGAAGAAAAAAACGGAAAAAGCAAAGATTTGCACATCAGTCTCCTTGTAAAGACTGTTAGAATCTGAACATTTTTTTCACGAACTGTTGAGTCCATTCAGAATAATTAGCTTAGGCATGTCCGTCCATGTACAAAAGAATATTCTTTCTTGCTCGCTTCCTATTATTATTTGAATAATTTTACAGTGACATGTACAACATCTAAGTTGAACAATGCAGATTCAAATTTTACTTTTTCTTTGACAACGCTATTGAAATAATAATAAGGACGGCAACGAGGAAGACTTCGATTAAAAAATTAATTTAAATCACCAATTACAATTTCGAGAGTGGCTGGATGTGTGTATCGTTTCTTACGACGACACAACTTCAGCATAACGCACACGAGCAGCGTTAAATTACAAATGTGAACTAAATAATTTGCCGTCTGGTGTTTACGTTCTCAGCCCACGCACATATTAAGGATTTGACGTTGTTGTTTTTTAGAGGACGACCAAGAAATATAAAACATATGTTGAGCTATTTTTCTCCCTTCTAAATCTGTTTTTTTTTTGGCTACGTCGTCGTTGCCCCCCTCCTAATACGTGTGAATATGCAAACGGCCTAAAAATTTAACCGTCAACCGTCAGAAAACAACTCAATATTATTCGTCACATGGTTAAACTCCTCCCAATCCTATGTTTCCAGCTGTTTGCCACGAGCAGTTCTAGATCTTGAAGAATCTTTAGACGAGCAATCCAGGCTACCGCTTTCACTAATTTTCGCCTAAACTGACGGTTTGAAAATATCAATGCTTTACTTTATACTTTAATACCTAAAAAAAACTTATGACGTTGACAACTTGCTTCTGACCGTCCAACCAAATCAAAACTTTGACTTAAGTTAAAACGAGCGTCCTGAAATAATCGTAAAAGCGGAAGGAAAAACTTTTGATCGATACAAGAAACGAGTTTCTCTCGGGGAAAAGCAAAGGCAAATTGGAAGTGTTCGCCAACACATAATTGATTTCCGCGACTTCGCTTTAAACTTTGGGCTCGGTTCATTTGAGCTCCAGTTGTACCGGTTGGTAGACTACTAAAAGGGAAACTTAAGTTTAGTATACAGTCTAACAACCAAATAACAACTCGAGTTGAAGCTACCACAACTGTTGTTCTGAGAGGGAGAGAGCGAGTTAAACGGTAAGACGGGTTCTGAAATATTAACCTCTTGCAATATGTCATTGAATTATATCTATTCATCTATAGAACTATCAATGTAATTATGTATTTCCGTAACCGTATTATCTCTCAAAGTCATATACATTTTTAGCGAGGATGTGCGAAGCTAGCTCTTATAATCACTTTCGGAAAATACCCTCCGGCCATAATTTTGTTCGCACCCTGAGCATACTATGCTAAGTGCTAGAAGAATCAGCTCTTCAGAGTTCTGTGTATCTTGTTCACACTTATAATATCGGATATAAGGTATTATTTTGAACTAACGATTAATTTTAGTACTGTTGGAGGTCTTAAAAGTGTGTTTCAGTTCACTTCGGTGGAGAAAGACTGAATAGGTCTGAATACGATCTATAATTTATCTTAAAAGATAAAGAAACTCAGTGTTGGCTTAAATTCATAAAAGAAACACTTTCTTGAAAACTGTCAACTGTCGAGGGCCCTGAAAGTTAGCCGTCTACCGTCGAAATAGGAAAAAAATGCCAGTGTTTTTTTCGATTTAGTTGAACAGCCAGTTACAGTATCCTAATAGCATATCATTTGATGCCTTTTCTCTTTTTAAATTCCCTCTCAGGCCATGATTTGTAATCTAAATCACTGTGATAATTGCATTCCTCTTATCCAGGAATGATTATCCGATTTGCCCTAAAACAGCGGTGTTCGAAGGCTTTTGACTACATTGTGGTGCTTATCAGTTTAAGTCCGCAAAAGCTTTTAAATACAAGTTTATGTGCTGATAAGATGGAAATAGCAATTATCGTTTGTTTGGCTGAAAATTTCTAAATCTTATGTTAATCATTTGTGTCATTTGTAAGACTGGCAGTCGGGTGTGAGAGACTCGGTTAGGTATGTAGTTAATATGGACTGGAGCATTTGACTCCTGGACTATTGGACTATTTTGGACCAATTTTTGGACCATTTTTTTGGACCATTTTATTGGGGGAAGGTAGACCATTAGTACTTAGGGAGGGGTCGGATGCAGTCTATCAATACTCAGGGAGGGGTGGGAGGTGGTTGTATTAGTAAATGCTACGGATTGATGGAGTTTTTAATGGATCATAAAAATTATTTTATGCGGTTTTCCGACTAAGAATTCTAATTTTAAAATTTTTGCACCGGGTCGTAGCGTTTCTCTATTTTTTTGTCATGTGAATGCGTAACTGGCACCGAAACACTGGACTAGAATTGTTCATGGAAATATCGCCCAATTCCCGCTTTTGATCCTCCACTGCTGAGTCTCGCGTGTGCCTTTCCCCCACAGCCTGCACACTTTAACTTTACTTGTACAATTCGGTTTTTCCTTTGTTTGCATAATATTTGATCTGGTCTACATTTAACAGACACTTATCAATTCTGACTCTTTCAGAAATGAAAAAGAGATTTCAAATGCTCTCGAGTCATTGCAAAATATAGAGGTCGTTTTGTCATTGTCTCTGAGAGGGCTTATTGTATTATTGCAAAAAGGAAATTCGTAACTTGTGAATAACAAATCCGAAATTTTCGAAAAAGGTAATTCTGTGGTGGATTTAATTCTGTAATTGTGTAGATTTAATGAATCAAAGAATCGGCTGTGTGAAAGAAAAATTGCGTCAATGAGCCATAAAATGCAAACCTGTTATTTGAAAAATGATCCAGCGCTGAAGCTGTGCTGTTTTAATCGTCAATTTACGAAATGAAGTGCGTGACATGACACTCAAATCTAAGCGTGACTTAATTGTATCAAATAGGAGAAAAACTGTGTATCTGAAAAGAGAGACTCCTGCGACTCCTCCCGAGGAACTAATTGTCTACCTCCTCTCGATAAAATGGTCCAAATCAAAGATGGTTCAAAATTGGTCCAAAGAAAGGTCCAAAAACTGGTAAAAAAATGGTCCAAAAATGGTCTAAAAAATAGTCCAATAGTCCAAGGGTCCAATGGTCCAATAGTTCAGTCCATATTTTACTCTATGCCGTTAAATTCTACTTTTTGATCCACTCAGGTATCAACTACATGAAAAAGTCCAGCTCTAAATTCAGTGACATGTTCAACAACACAAGTGCTTCAACACAAGAGCAATCTCCGGTAAATATCAACACTTTCACCGCTGAAGCAGTAGCTGAGCTTGTCCCTATTGCGCTCCTGGTCACCATTGCAAATGGCGTGGTGCTGGTTTTATTTACAAAGAATACCAAGCTCCGAACAGCACCAAACTATGTCCTTTTCAGCCTGGCAGTTTGTGACTTCATGACAGGGATCATCAATGTTCCCCTTTTCATAATTGTCGCGTTCACACCGGTTGTTAAGTCGCTTAAGGTTCGATATTACATGGCCATCCTGGTGAGTGTACTTAACAATTTGACCGCCATATCATCTTGTTATCATATACTGGTCGCCACAACAGAGAAGTATCTGTCAGTCGTCTGGCCAATAAAACATCGATTGATGACCAGAAGAACAGTCGCCAAAGTGGTGAAAGTAGTTTGGGCGTTGTCTTTCATTGTGGCCTTTAGTCCCTTTGCATGGGTGAAAATGGAAGATAGAGAAACCCAAGCAAGACTGACTTTAGGACATGTCATTTTTTGCCTCATTGCCGTTTTCTTGTTGCCGTATGCATTCATGATCTACGCTTTTATCGTCATTTTTAAATCAATCTCTGACAGAGGTAAAGCAAGACGAGGTGCCACTTTAGAGAGACCTTTCCTAAGCCGGCAAGCTGCTCTTGAAAAGCGATGTTTGATTTTGTTCGTTGCAATGGCAACCGTCTTCCTTCTTTGTTGGTTACCATGGTTTATTTTGATGTTGCTGTTCAAAGTAAAGAAGGACGTGAACTCCTTAGAAATCCCAGCTCATGTGTTTGTGCTCGTTAGATATGCTACTTCTATTATAAATCCTGTATTGTATACTTTCTTCAGAAGAGACTTTAAGAAGGCACTACATTCCTTATGTTCAAACAGCAGATTACGTTGTCTGACTACTTTAGATCATAAACCAAATGGATCTGATACAAAGGAAATAGAAACAGCTGAAGACGCTTTATAACCCTCAACACCCTAGCATCAGTATACGTATTGTCCATACTGCTCTCTATATATTTCTTAAGGTTCTGACAAGGAGAATTTGTTTAACTTTAAAGAGCTACTTTACTTGGTGATCATTTCCTTCAATCTCGTGACCTTAATGTGTGATTCAGGGGCGATATTGTCCGGAGAAATTAGATGCTGGTCAATCTTAGGGTTCAAAGGGTCAGAAGTCATTGCCGTTGGGAACAATGCCAAAAAAATTGTCTTCAATACTTATGTTACTTATTTATTTATTTATACGACCGACATTTTAAGTTCTGGATTGACACGCACGTTTTCAAAAGTTATTTTGACTTCT